ATAACAATCTCAACAACTGCATAAAACACTAAAGGTGACGGCAATCCTATTGTGCCATAGCAAGGGAAATAAAGAAAAATTACCTGAACACAATTCTGTTATTGAAGCGAATACTTCTACCAAAGCCGGAGCCCCATTTTCCTCTTTGTCTTGTTTCCCGCTGTTTTCTTGCGACTCCTCGAAGTCAGAACGCTCGAGGCTAACCGGTTCGCCCGCCTGAATATCTGTCTGATAGAGGCACCACGGGGGAGTTAAAGCTCTTGTTGCTGCTGCAGCAAATGTTTATGTCCAGTCCCTCATCTTCTATATGCTCTGTGGTGCCATCCAGTACAGGAGGTAACGGTTAAATTACTTGTATGGCCGACAGAATAATGGCACGTTCTGGTAAAGGATACCAAGAATTTGGATTTAAAATAGTACGCCGCCCGATGGGTTGGCCTCTTTAAACCTTCTTTGGCTGCATTTCCAAACTTTCTTGCGTAATCTAACACCGTGAAAAGTTTATATTTGTGATGCATAACTGAGTGAATATCCTCCACGTCTAGTGTCATGCAACTCAAGGGGTTAAGAGCCTCACATCGATATAATTCCGACACTTTCTGGAGTTTCTCTTTTTGTTACGCCGTTAAGCACTTCAATTGACGCAACAGTTTTAGATGCCACCTTACCCTTTGGGCCGTTAAGGATTTTTGGTAAGTTGGCAACTTCGCTTTTGATAGAATTTTCATTCCTGCGCAATTACTGAAGTGTCGCTGACCAGTCCGATCAATTTCATCATAAATTCTCGTCAACGGACATTCCCGTTCTTGGTTCGTTCAAGTGATTATTTCAGTCCCGTATCTCGCCCCTTAAAATCGCCGATTCCCGTGTCCCGCCGGCATAACATCATTCCCGCATCTCGCCCCCTTCTTACACTAAATTCTCGGATCCCGGCCTTTAAATAAGACCAATCCCGGATCCCGAATAGCCATTGGGGACGCTCTTTTTTGACTTCGTGGACTGTTCGATTTAACATGAAATATAAATCTCGGTTGATGGGTTTTAAAGATTTTTAAAGTAAGACTACTGAAACTTTTAAAGGATCGTATCGCCCGATGAAATGATAACACATACAGACTCACCTCAGCTCTCTTTGCAGTTGTAACAGAATCCTCACTTTTACTTTCGACCATTGTTTAATTGAAGCGGCAGATTGTGATATGATGTTGGACTTCATCCTCTGAAGGCACTGAAGTTCATAACCTTTTTTGCCTTTTTGCTTTGCACTAAAATACAGCCTGTTGAAAAACTCTCGCTCTTCTTGCCAGCGCCAGCGCTCGCGACAATCATCCACGTGTTCTTTCTTGCATGATCTAATAGATATTTCACCCAGTTCTCACCTAATCGTACCATTTTGGCACGCAGTCGAGCCAATATACCCCTGGCGATAACAAACGAGCCTGATTTGCTGCCGAAGCGTACCAGGAAGGTACGTCTAGTTATTCACTCTTTCTAAATTCAGTAAAATCTCAAGTGATGTTATTTTGAAGTTACGGCGATTAAATATGTCAGGCACTCTATGGAGTGGCCGTGAGAAGAATAGTACGAGTCAACAAACGGCGCGAAAAGATGACGAGAGTTACAATACACAACAAACAAAGGGATAAATTATGGTTGAAAAACAAGACTATCACCTTTTATGCCGATAAGAACTGTTTTACAAACCTCATCACGTGGAAACGAACACACAGAAAGTTAAAAAATGCTAATCACTTTGAGATTTCAAATCAGTTCGTCTCATTAGTTTTAAAAATTTTCAGTTTCAGGAATCAGAGTTGAAGAAAAATACTAGCAGCACTGGAACTCAAGGAATTCTGCGGACTGCGATCTGGTCTTGTTTAACACTTCTGTCGGAGTGATTTCCAAATTTTTTTTATTCCCAGCAAACTCGCCCCGTTGATTGTTGTTCAGTGTAGATGGTTCAAATTCTTCTCTCCACGCTGCGCGTGTTTCTCAGTGAAAATGCTTCAGAATCTGACAGTCAACAACATCGCTCTTTTCAAGTCAATTATTTGCCACGTATGTGGTGCAAATTGTGTTGACGTGCTTATATTAATACTATTTTTGTCTTCAACACTTTTTCGAGTTCCTCATTGAATTTTTTTTAACTCCCTTCTGGGAGGTTTTTAGCTCAAAATACAACGCAAATTTAAGAACTCCGACTCCACTGATTCTATGTCAGCTAATGTCAATGTTTCAGCACTCTTCGACAAACATACAATTTAATAGCGAGTAGGAGTGCTCTCAAGTCTAGTTATGGCGGCAAAATTTATCTATACATATATTTTTTTCCAACCTGTAAACACCAGCTAAACTCAAATAATGAAGTTTTGTACCAAGTCTCGCAGTCATAAAACCTACATTTACAGTGTGGTAACTCGCCTAGCCGTGTTCGAAAAATAAAACACGTTTACATGCAATCTTACAACCCCGGGGTGCTGGGGTGAGGTTTCTTGAGGTTGTTGTTGCGCTTGCAGTTAGGGAGTTTGAGCATAAGCGTCCCAAGCTCACATCTCGAGAAAGACGAAAGATTAATTCTCGGACATGTATGTATTTATTCATGAAAGCGTCACGCGTTGTGTTACGCGGTTTTAGATTACGCGAGGAATCGTAGACTTATACGTTATAAGGAATAGTTTGGGAAACGAAATATGGTCGATTTACAACGCCTAATATTCCGATATGTGAACATTTTACACTCTCGTGTGTCCGTTACGGTTTCTGGTGATTTCTGCCTTGAGACGTCTAGGAAATGCTCAAAGTTTTAAAACACGTGTTTAGCTTTTGAGGTTTTTGCCATGAATGCGACCCCGGCTAGGCGGGTTAGCCTACCTTAAGACGTTTACATGGCAAATTGTCACCCCGGCTGACAGGGTTACCCTACCTGGCAGAAAGGGAAACCCGCCTTGGCGGGTTACCCTACCTATCATGTAAACGTGATCAAGATAAAATGAGAGATTATATGGAAAGGCGGGTTACCCCACCTAGGCGGGTTACCTCACCGTGTTGTTCGCCATTCTCATCAGAGGTCATCTGCTGAATTTTCTTGTTAGTAATATAAAAGCCAACGGTGTTTATGTAACGAAAAGAAATCATACATGACTACTTGGAGATATGGAATTTCCCTTAACGTCTTCAACTTGTTATCTCACGAGTGAGCGCAGCGAACGAGAAATTTGAAGAGAGATTCCATAACTACGCACACCCATGTGTTATTTTCTATTTAATTTGAAAGTGGCCATGATATCGTGGCCATGAGATTATAAAACAATTTAATATCTCTTAGTCGTGGCATATCAGGACAGTGACGAAATATCGTAGGATTGGAGGGATGTTAGATTGCGTTTCTGATTGTTTACTTGCAAATATGGGTTTGGTAATCTGCGACATATCAGGTCAAACGTTTCCTTATACCCTCTCACACATGTAAAGACACTGACGGATGAATAGAGCTGAAACAGACTATTTTATCCATTACTAATGACATTTCTAGCTCTATGCAGTCTGCCAAAATACTCCGTCCTGATTACAACTTTTTTCTGGGTTTGGGGTGGGCTATCAGAGCAAATGAGAAAATTTGGGATAATTATGGCATTTTATTGAGATGCGGCAAGTTTTAATCAACAAAAATTTACCTATGACTTCTACACTGATAGATATACAACCTAACAACAGTAGGCATATTCTCCATGTTGTCTTCTGTACATGTTTATAAGATGCTGACAGGGAAAATTTGTTAAACAATTGAGAACTTCTTAAGCTGGTGATCATTTCCTTTATTCTCATGACCTTACTGTTTGACTGAGGGGAGAAATTAGATGCTAATCGTTCTTAGGGGTCAATGGTTAATGGATAGTCATCTAAAATAAACCACATTTTTTTATGATTTTTATTTACTTAGGCAGACGAGCTTGACAACATACAGCATTCTACACTTCCATTTGTATCCGTTAACAGCATCTTCATTCGTTAGCTCAAAATGAACCAAAAGAGATTGACTGATACATATGACTTATTTGATGTTCGTCCTCCTGTCTTTCTGTATTACGTCAGTAATACCTTTTTCCTTTTGATTTGGGCAAGCTTCTGCAAAATTTACTTATGAGTCAAGATAACAACAAATCCAAATGAATAAATAAATGAGTCAGATACACGTGCATCATCTGACCTGAGCACTTAGTACATGCGTGCAGTAGGGTAAATAAGATTTATGGCTTGGCATTGTTGAGTAACGCAGCCATCTACTAATTACGTAGGATGGTACATTTTTTTTCTTTTGGGTAAATAAGATTTATGGCTTAGCATTGTTAAGTAACGCAGCCATCTACTAATTACGTAGGATGGTACTTTTTTTTTCTTTTGGGTAAATAAAATTTATGGCTTAGCATTGTTAAGTAACGCAGCCATCTACTAATTACGTAGGATGGTACTTTTTTTTTCTTTTGGGTAAATAAGATTTATGGCTTAGCATTGTTAAGTAACGCAGCCATCTACTAATTACATAGGATGTTTTTTTTTTTCTTTTGAGCAAATCATGAGCAAATCACGAGTAAGATATCAATAGTAATTTCAGATTGAATACATATGATTCATGGCTTAGCATTGTAATACAACACAACCATCTACGAAATATATAAGAAGTTACCTTGTAATGAAACAATTATGAGTAAGCTGTTAATAGTAACTTGAAATTAATGGTAACTTCAGATTGAGTAAATATGATTCATGGCTTAACATTGCTATTCAATACAGCCTGCTACTGAGTACTTAACTTCAAATTGAATAAATGCGAATTATGGCTTAGCATTGCTATACAACAGCCATCTACGGAACTTATGTCATATTTTATGTGTTGTCAAGATTGAATTAAACAAATCATAGCTAATAATATTATGGTAAATTCAAATTGAAAATTTGAATAAATATGATTCATGGCTTAGCATTGTAATATAACACAGCCATCTACTGAAAATCTCAGATGTTTAAGTTGAATTAAACAAATCATAAGTAAGGTATTGATAACAGCGTTAGATTAAATAGGATATATGGCTTAGTAACGTTATACAAGACAGCCATCTACCCGGCGAATATATAAGATATGTAGGTTACGTTGAACATTAAGCTTAAGCGAGAAATCGATTGTAACTTTAAGTTTAGTAATTACTCAAATTTTAATTAATAAAAAGGGCTCTCCGATCTTTGATTCGGGTATCCGCCAATAAAGCAAGCACTGTTTGTCCATTTTAAAGTTCACTCTCGTTAATGAAGTGTTATCTGAAGTAATATTACTGCAAAGGACAGAGATGGGCCTCTAAAATAATTTTAAGTTATACCAATTCAAAGCTTACCTACTGCTGAAGGGACTTAACATACTTTTGATCTCTAATAGTACATGTACAAAGTGTTACATATACAGTCGAAAACCTAACTAAACAACACATTGACACGTTTTTTTATTACATTTAGCCTATTGAATCATAATCCATATGTATCTGGTATAACACGACACGAGCACTTACATTTTCACATAAACCAACAGGCTCGTATTTTGACACTATGTACGAAAACTACTGTTTGTTGAAGTATTTCAAAGTCATTACAGGGGCCAAACACCTACCTACGCAATCGATTTTAAAGTTCATTTGTTAAACAAGAAAAAAATGCAACACTTAAGGTACATGTACTTCTCTTACATAACGAATGCACTCATCTGAGAATACAGTGTTGTTGTTTACACACTCGTTTCTTTTATACCATCGAGCGCTGGGTAAAAAAAATCAAGGTCGGAGTCATCATCAAACGTGGCCAGCGGTGCTCTTGGAGACTCTCGCCCAGAGGCTGCTGGGAGATTATCATCTGCTTGGTGTTTATCTGTTGCATAATCACATGACACAAGGAAAAAAAGAAGACACTCAGTCACGTACCTTCTGTTAAATACTTAAATTCTGCTTAGACTAATTCATAGCGAGATTGTTATAAATTGGGGCACCGTAGTACAACGTAAGCCTCGCAAAAGCGCTTCCTGTCACTGCTGAAAGAAAAACCGCTCCAAGATTTTCCAATGAGGAAAAGTTCCTTCACTATTCGAATAAACCGCTGAACGTAGTTAAGCAGGGCAAGGGAGGTAACGAAATTGTAGAAACTAACAATTTGTTTAAGGTATAAAATGAAGAGAGATCGTTCACCAATAGTCCTCCAAATTGATGAAAATAATCTCAATATATCAAAGTTCTTTTTTTAAAAGAAGCAGAGGGTTGATAAACATACCCTTATTCACAATTAACTCGTCGCCTTCCCCAGCCTCATCTTCCATGTTATCTTCCTCTTGCTCTTCGCATTCTGTGAATTCCTTTTCTAGTTGTTCTTTTTGTTTGTCAGGTCCATGTTCCATGTTATCTTCCGCTTCCTCTTCGCATTCTTTGAACTCGTTTTCTGATTCTTCTTCTTGTTTGTTAGGTTCGTCTTTCAGCTCTGATGGGTCTTCGTGGTCTTCCTCGGGTTTTTCTTCTTGTTCAGTCACAGCTCTCTCCTCGGGCTCTTCATGCTCGGCCTGCTCAGCGTTTTGCTCATGCTCGCTTTGATCTCTCGATTCGTCGTCACTGTCATCGCTGTCATCACTCTCTGCGTCTTGTTGGATTTGAACTGTAAAGAAAAAAGTTTAAAAAAATAGAAAGTGGATTGTACCAGGGGTGCTACTTCCTTTAGTACCATTTTCAGTATATCATTTAAAATCAAAGAGTATATCATAACATTTTATTGATCTTGTGCACTGTTGTTTGACATAAACTCTAACGAAAGGGCAATAGTCTTTATTGGAACAAAAACTTGGGTAGCAGCTCTTTCAAGAAAAATAAATAAGTTAACAACGATTGTTACGCATTTTCTTCATTAAACATCCGCGGCATTTATTTTAAATTTAACCAGGTAACCCCGACTTTTATACGAGTCGAGACGGTTATTGATGGGATTTACTTTCCTGTCATTTTACGCCAATTTTTCTTCGCTCATCCTCCGACTTCAAGGAGTAGTCGGTCAATACGGCACGAATTTCACTTTTTCCAGTCGTAAAAACTTGTCGCTCGTTATTCTACAGGGATTACTCTTTTTCCTTTGAACATTTTCTTGTATAAATTTGACAACAGTGCTCTTTAATTAAGTGTAGTTACTTGAAAGTGAGACTTAAACTAAAGGGCGGAACCTCGATTTAAACCTCAATTATACGCTTACGGCGTTCAGATCTAAATAAGCAGTTTCGCCTAGACGTTTTAATCAAGAAAATACGTAAAACTGTTTTCATATTTTCAGCTTTGCCCATCCATTCTTCATAGCATTCTGTCTCTCTTCGTTTCAGATTTACCCGAGCGATTTAGGAAATCGAGCGACTTTCCCCCATGTTTACTTGAGCCGAGTAAATATTTCATACCTTCTTCGATGACTTGCATTTCAACGCCCTGATCTTGGCCTTTGGAAAACAGCAATGACATTAGTCAAACATACTCGAATAGTATTTATCTTCATCATTGTAAATATCAGTGATTTGTGGATGGGTGAATCATGTATGAAGATATAATCAACATCACCAAAGATAGTCATTTTTTTCCTTCCTTTTTTTTCTTTAAAAGATAATCATGCAGAAGTGCAACAGAAGCCAGAAGGTAATCACGTGACAATAAAACTTAATCAGACAGGTACTTAATCCTTAATCCTTAGTCCTTATTTCCGGAGGATGATTTTCGATAAATTTACCTTCATTGTTTTGATTTCGTCCACACTTTTCCACCAAATAGCTCCATAACTGTTGGAATTTAGCCTTCAGAACACGTCGTACCTAAATGCAAGTCATCAAGAACAAAGAGCAAAACAAAACAAATTGGAATACTATGTGTACTGATTGGTCAAACACCTATGGTTCTCTGAACCGATCAATCTTGATCTAATTTTTAAAAGTAGTTGGGTAATAACTCTCTTAGGATGTCTGTGAGAAACTCGCAAAGTTCAAAAGTCCCTCGCTCTCGGCTGATGATTCAAAACTTTTTGAAGTTCTCCCAACATCGCGCGTGGGATGTTCTGCCGGTAAACCGAGCGAGAGTGCTGTCCAATGCTTAAATGATCAATATGAAGGTTTCAACCAGTCAAAGTACTAGTCACTTATGCTTAGTAGGTCATCCAGAAACAGAACCGTTTTTGTTAGTTGGGGCTCTTTTTTTTTTTTCCGTGCGATCTTTTCACTTCACCGGAAGTGTTATTACTTGAAAACAAACAATTTTATTTTTCGTTAGTTACGCAGTTTTTAGGCACGTATAGAAAAATTTAAACACTGCTTGTATCTTAGTAAGTAGCATAATAAGGCTGGTATACCTAATGCCGAGCAACGCGAAAATGTTGTCGTTCTAGATGACCGGACAAGGTACGGGAATTATATAATCTTTATTTTTTAACTGGTTAGTTAGTAATAGCACCCTCTGAGTTCTTAAACTTCCACTACTCAAAAGGATGACAAGTGAAAAAACCAAAAAAAAGTTTTATTTTAAAAAATTACTTCAACGACGTGTTGAAGTAAACGTAATAAGTTTACGCGGCGTTTTTTTTGCGAGACTTTTTTTTTATGGGAAATGGTTTCTTTTGGCAGATTAAGGACAGTCGGCAAAATATTCAAATATCAAAACCCGCTAAATTTTCTTGCAAATTGGAAAGTATTTTCTTTTTAACTAGTTCTTTTGATATTGTTCACGAGAAAGAATAAAATGTTTATGAAAGTATCCTTTAAACTTCAGCTGATCAAGCTGCAGCAAGACGTTTAAGCAAAGATATGAAGGTTGCAAGTTACTACCTGTACTGTTGATAAAGTGTAGAGAATGGGATTGATGGCAGAGTTAACCGGCAGAACAAAGACTGCGATCCAAACTGCGAGGTCACCAGGTGTACGGAAGGATTTTTCCACGAGAGACCTCATTCCAATCACCACAATAAATAATAATAATAATAATAATAATAATAATAATAATAGTAATAGTATCGTGAATAACCACTTAGAGATCTTGGGAACAAGTTATTGCGTTTATACAACATCTACGAGAATGAAGAGTGGTAGCTTCGCTAAATGCTACTGCTGGAATCGGGATAAAAATATAAGTCCCAAGATCCCTCGGCCATTTCCAGTCGCTCGTACCCAAATTGTTGAACCTGTTTTGTTGTTGAACTTGAAGCTTTATACCGTGTTGGTTTTGACGTGATTCTCTGGGGTTGCAGACTAGGAAAATTTGTGTTGATGTTGAGTTACTTCGATTGTTGGATCTAGTGTGTTTGGAGTGTTGATATTGATATTAGCTGTTCAATTTGGACAAATTTTATCGTTGACCTTAATAAAAAATGTTGATGTTGGCAGCAATCTGATCGGTTGAATTTTGCACCACTACGGCTTCCATAGTGTGCTCCTGACCGGTATGGTTGCTACATAAGAACTCTGGCTACTGTGAACCATTAAGTGAGGGAGCTAACTCAATACTTGAGATGTTTCCTTCACTTTTGTAGTGTTTTGGGTCGGACTTGATTCCTCCTCTGACGTTTCTAAGATCTGTGAAAGGCGATACTCGACGAACAGAAAATGCTCATGAGGACTTAGAGATCAAACGTGACTATTAGGAAAAAAGGTAAATAAGGAAAAACCAGAATTAATTTTGAAAAGATCTGAAACGCGTACGAGGGGTGGAACCACAGGCATATTCCATCAGGCATATTCCAAGATTCAGCGTAAGCCATTCTAAGGACAAGCCCGTTTTCCCCACCAAAACGGGAAAGAAGGTAATATTTTATATTCAATATGTTCTTTCTTTGATGTTGGAAATTTCTCGTTCTACTTTAATTTTTTGAAATTAGAAGAATTTGACGCGCCCCAAATACACGGGCCGCGACAAGTTAACGCCAAGGCGATTAATTGAGCAAATATAATGTTGACGCCTCTGAATTCTTATTTGGAAATCATTCCCGGTGTCAGTGATCGTAACTGGGGAGAATCTAGAAGCATCTGATCAGTATCGCATTTTATTGTTCAAAGATTGGCTGTACAAGCCACATTGGAGAATCTCAGGGCGGGAGGGAAGGGTTTATAGCTCTTGTGGTTTACGTTTAATTTTTTTCAATGCAGTTAGCAAAAAATACATTACTGTTCACTTTTTTATCACGACTGACGGTTAAAATTCGTAATTCTTACACCTAACGGCTATTCTTTTAGCTGTTTTATGGCTATCAGTTAACCCATTCATACCCTCACTTTACAGCATTATACAATACACATCGCATTTTACCCACAGTGCCTGGACAGACCTCAAGAAGTGACAAACTTTATCATTCTCTCTGGGTTTTGCTCTCATTGAATCAGTTTCATCCGCTGTGAAGTTCTCTGCTAACATGATATGATGATAGCAAAGCAAATCGTTTGAGGGTCAGTCGTCAGTGTATGAACGAAAAAATAAGGTGGAACATGAATATGGTGTTTTCATTCTTTGTCAGCCAAATTAACTAAAACAATATTAATATTAGCAAACTTGCACCACAATCCAAAAAAGATTATTTTTGAGCGCTCTGAATACTCATGAAAAAGTGTGGGCCGATACTTTTCAAGTTCAAACAAATTGAACGAATTTCCCTCTTCAGATTTTCACCTGCTACGCCTACCATTTCCCTTTTGGATTTCATTTATATTCTTTTTAAGTCTAAGACCGTTAGTATGGCTGCTGAAGTTGTTTGAATTTACCTTAAGGGAGGGTCTCAATGAGATTAACCGTTAGCCGTAATACGGCCAAAAAATTAACTGTTGGGCGTCAAAGTTGACAAATTTTATCTGTCAATCGTAAAAAAAAATTAGCTCAATAGGACTGTGTCTTTCTACAAGGTGTCATCTTGAGTTTATTTGCGTTTGAGATTTCAAAAGTGCGTGGTTTGACCTTTCAAAATTATCCTCAAATGTGCTTAATACCCCACCACGGGGGCTGCCACCCTCTAGTGTCTTAGCAAAATTTCTCAGTACCCTTTCTTCCATCTCTCGGAAGGCCGTTTGATTAATTAGGAATCTCACAATATGCCTTTCTTGGCTACATTAAAATTTATGATTTTGTTTTCGATAACAAGAGAACTACGTTTCGTGGTTTTAAGCGCGAACCTGTTAACGTTGTATTAAAAATGAAGGAGTTCATAACTGAATTTTCACCATTTCGGAAGACAGCTGAAGAATATTCTCAGGTTACTCTTTGGAATCTCATAACGGGGTAAGTTGTTAATTTTTATCTTCTTTTTCAAAGTTTGGTATGGAAATGATCTGGATTCTAAAGATGGTTCTCCCATAAGAAATATTAATCAGTTTAACCAGTTGTATAATTTGCCTTCTTCTTTGTCCTCTTTAGGTTCAGTGATTAAAGTCGCCTCTCATTTTGGAGCCTGGAATCAGAATAGTCAACAACCGTTTTGTGATAGACCGTGATTATTTAGTTTTGGTTTGTCGACTTCGAAAGGTGATGTGTGTGATGCAGCTGCTGCCTCTGCTGATTCCACTATCCATACACGATTACCTTTGAGCAGCTTTCTTCAGCTTTCCATTCTGGCCTTCAGACCCAAATTTTTCAGACATTATATTCTTGGTGAAGTCTCACCTATATCAGGTGCAAACTGTTCCCCTAAAATATAAAGAAAATTTGATATAATTTTCTCGACGGAGCTATAATAAAAATCTTCTTAACACTTGAAGAGAATTAAAATTGAAACTCGAGCAAACGCGATGAAGTTCTCATAAATTGCAAAACCAAAAACTACAAATACAACAGGTTGAAAATGCGATTTGCGTTAGGGCTTCCAAGTGGCGGGTTAAAAAAAATGTATCTATGTAGCAGAACAATTTTTAAAATGCTTGCGAAAAACTGAGGTCAGACTGCTCAAGTCAGATATCGGTCTGGCTTGGGCAGCCGCTGCAGTCTAAACATGACTACAAAGCGATACAAGTCAAAGCAGAGCACAAAAGATTACGCTACCTCAAATTTTACCACCACCGTGACAGTTCTTGAAATCCATAATAACATGTGAAAGGGTTTTTTGGATTGTTTTTGCGTCCTGGGTTCACTTAGCAACGAGGAAACACCGTTGAATTTTCCATGGCTTCGTGTATTATGACGCAACAAACGTAAACTTTACAGAAAATCCACTGACCAGCACTGTGTTCGAACAGACTGACTCGCTTCTCTCCCAATGGCATTTGCCTCGGTTTCAAAACGCGTTACAGTGCACAATCTTTCATTTGACTGACGTGCCTGGCTTCCCTGAAGAAACGTTTTCTCTCGCAGGACGCAAAACTGAAGGAGAGAATGTGGCATACGCAAGCATGCATCCGTTGAGCATGATTCAGTCATCAACGCACGCGCTCACATGGCCGTTGCCAGATTCTTCGAATCACCTTTTTGCCCTGCTTTTGTCTTCGCTTTTCTTTCTATTTTTACACGAGGGGCCAAAGTGAGTAGTGCGATGAAACTATAACATTGTCGGCCAGTAAAAAAAAAGAGTAGTGGCAACCATGGAGGTTGACAAAGAAAATGAGTTCCCACCTTTTTACTGCAGAAATGCGCGCGCATCGATTAACATGGTAATTTAGTATTAATTATCAACTGATTTGATAACGTAGATTGGCCACCGTTAAGAGTTTGAAAGCTGACGTTTCGAGCGTTAGTCCTTCGTCAGAGCGAATGGACGAATTGTGGGTTGTGAGAACGTTTACATGCAGAAAATGGAGCTACGCTATTGGTGGGAAATAGTGAAGAGAAAACAAGAACAAACTACTGTAGTTGAATGAAAAGTGCTCGTTGATACCGTGGGGATTAAGAGTGTCGGTGGTTTGAATTCATTGTGAGTAAACGGGTAACTGACTTCATTAGAATTAGAATTTCCGTTTGTAATTTTCTTTGCAATATTTTATTATTTTTCGCTTTGACGAAACACCCTGATTCTTTTTCTACCGAACAGTTTTTTGTGGGAAGAAATCAAGTGTACGTTTCAAACAACGAGTTCACCCGATGGGCTCATATAAGGTTTACATGAAAGAATCGTGTTTTTGCTTGAGGATGTTTGTTTAATGATTGTAATCAATGCTTTCTTGAAGGTCTCCAATAGGGTTCTTCAATCCCGCGATCCCGACTAAAATTTTCTCTTAATCCCGTAATTCCGACGGTTTATACGGCCAATCCCGACCTAAAAAATGCCTTCCTAGTCCATTTCCCAAACGTAAGAGGGCCTCTTCGGTAGGTGATGATTTTCTCAACCAGCATTGATCCGTTGAAGTCTTTGGCTACCGTAAGGCGGAAGTTTATCTCATTTCATCTCAAAATGATGCATAAAACACAAAGTTTTAAAGAATGACGGCAGTCCTATTACGTCAATCACACACCAAATCTTATAAAAAAAATCACCTGAACACAATTGTGTTATTGAAGCGAATACTTCTTCTGAAGCCGGAACCTCTTCCGAGGAGGGAATCAGCCTCTCGTTCCAAAGATGGAACGTCAACATCATCACTCAAGGAATCGCACTCTGATGTGCCATTTTTCTCTTTGTCTTATTTCTCGCTGTTTTCTAGCTACTCCTCAAAGTTAGAACGCTTGAGGCTAACCGGTTCGCCCGCCTGAATAGAGGCACCACGGGGGAGCTAAAGCTCTTGTTGCTGCTGCAGCAAATGTTTATGTCCAGTTCCTCATCTTCTGTGTGCTCTGTGGTGCCATCAGTACAGGAGGTAACGGTTAAATTACTTGTATGGCCGACAGGATAATGGCACGTTCTGGAACAGGATACCAAGAATTTGGATTTAAAATAATACGCCGCCCAATGGGTTGGCCTCTTCTTCTCTTCTTCTCATTAAAATTTAGCGAAATTTTTGTTACGATCGTGTTATTTACTGGTTATATTTATATCTTTTCAAATCTTACCA